CAGACACACACACACACACACACACACACACACACACGTTGAAGCAGCTCTTTGCCTCTGCAACAGAGGGTATCCAGCACACCTGTTCTTGATCCACTGCTGCCATTCCTTCCCACAGGCAAAGTCATCCTTTCAAGCCCCTCAGAAACTAATGCATATATAACTACTGTTCTACAGACAAACTGCAGCTGCTGCAACTAGCCCCCTTGAATGTGTGCATGTTTGTGTGTGTGTGTATGTGTGCGCTGGAGCCTCATCCCCCATTACTGGTATGCATTCACAAAAGCAAAAACAACTACATCACATGGAATCTAAATTTGAGAGAGAAATGTACACCGCACACTGTCAAGTGTACAAAGAATGGTGCACCTCATATATATTCACTCTCATCTACAAACGGAGTGAGACGATGGTCACTGTTGCATTATGTAATGTGTCTGCTGTCACTTCACCAGAGGACACTACAACAGGACCTTCTCTTTGACTCGCACGAGAAGTTACTGCTGGATCAAAGTGTGTATTCCTGTGTGTGTGTGTGTGTGTGTGTTAGAGAATGCAACACTATTGAAAGATGTCGACACAAGGGCACTAACTCAAAGCTGTGTTTGTGAGCAAGTTCGAGGCAGAGAGAGACACGGATAAAGACTTCGTGAGGAGAGAATGGGGGAAAAAAAGATATTATATGTGAGCCCATGTATAAGAATGAGACATAAACACAAAGTTATGTGTGCGTGTGTGTGCGCGCGCGAGCATAGCACAATTCAGCAAGACAGGAAGCACTGCTGTGGGGAGAAGGAACAGCGGTGCTGATCAAAACCCAGGCGGGTGACACTATGGGCGGAGTGCCATTGTTTATTCACCAGCCACCTCTCCCTTTTGGCAGGGCGAGGTGAGCATGTGTGCTTGTGTGTGTGTGGAGACAGACGGAAAGAGTTCGGAGACACAGAGTTGGAAAGATAAGGTGTGTGTGTGTGAGTGAGTGAGTGAGTGAGTGAGTGAAAGAGAGAGAGAGAAGAGACATGGCCTGTGTTTGTACCTTTCTCTTGGCAGGCTAATGTGGACTGGAGTTCTTTCAGATTTGGCAGCTGCACATTTCAGGCACACACACACACACACACACACACACACACACACACACACACACAC